ACAAAAATTTAAAAAATAGTTAACCTATTTATGACCATAAAAATAAAATGAGTTATTTAGGTTCAGATACATTTTATATGAAAGAAATAGGTTATCACCACCATCTTGAAAGATTTTTTATCAGTTTAGATTTTGTTTTATTTTGTAAAAAGTGAGAAAGAAACATATTTAATTAACTGGGAGTTTCGTTTCCGTCGATGTCCCGATTCTAAGTATAGGCAATTTGATTTAACCATCCCGTTGTTTGAAATATCGCTGTTTTAGTTCTCCTGTTTGAGTCATATGAAGCTGACACCAAGCAAACAAGTTTTCCCAATCCACTTTAAACTATTCACGCACATATTTTTTCTAAAATAGTCACATGACCGGAGTCGTATAAACAAAAAACACATTTCATGATTCTTGTCACAATGCGACAAAACAAATATGTTATTTAAAAACACAACTAACGATCGTTAGGACAGTTAGTGAATGATGAAAATGTGACTGAAAAAACAAAAGCTACCTGTTTAAAAAAATTTTCTTTTCTTCCATCAGATATTTTGATGACAAATTTTAAAAAAAAACTGGCCTGCCATTTCCGAAGTATTTGCAATATTTAATCATTTTCATTAGGATTTATTCATTTGTGTACAGTCTCAATACATGTCAAGATACACGTGAGGCAGAATAATGGAGCAATATCATATTTGCAACATCTTATTTTGCTCACATTCCATTCAATTTATTTAATAATTTCCTTAAACGAAGCAGTTATAAACAATTTATGAAATAAAATTATTACAATACGACGTATTATTCTGTACAGTATGGAAATTTAAATCATAATATAGGATGTAATAGCTTTCCTGGCTTCTTATGTATTTAAAAAAAAAGAGAGGAAAAAAAAATAACTTTGTTGGAGAGACAAACACTTGAAGACAAATAGGTATTGAGGGTTGAGGGTATGTGTAGTCTACCACCCATTGAGGGTTCAAGTGTGTGTAGTCTACCACCAATTGAGGGTTGAGGGTATGTGTAGTCTACCACCCATTGAGGGTTGAGGGTATGTGTAGTCTACCACCCATTGAGGGTTCAAGTGTGTGTAGTCTACCACCCATTGAGGATTGAGGGTATGTGTAGTCTACCACCCATTGAGGGTTGAGGGTATATGTAGTCTACCACCCATTGAGGGTTGAGGGTATGTGTAGTCTACCACCCATTGAGGGTTGAGGGTATGAGTAGTCTAACACCCATTGAGGGTTAAGGGTATGTGTAGTCTACCACCCATTTAGGGTTGAGGGTATGTGTAGTCTACCACCCATTGAGGGTTGAGGGTGTGTGTAGTCTACCACAGTCATATTTTATTAACGTTTGGTGTTAGTTGGCTGGTTATATTCCTTATTGACTTGTTCATTTATATTTAAGCCCATAATAATATGTACGGAGAATGGAGGAAGGACGTATCCCAAAGATACTGCTGTATGGACAGTTGGCCGAGGGGACAAGACATATTGGACCACCGCGCCTGAGATTTATTGACGTTTGCAAACGAAGCATTAGGGACGCCATTATTGAAACAAACGAATGGGAGTTCATTGCCGAACATCGCTCCAACTGGCGAACAGCAGTGTTTGAATGAGTCAAAAAGGAAGAAGTTACTCGAAACGAGGCCCTCGAATCAAAAAGAACAATTCGAAAATCAAGAATTTACCGGGATTCAACATTCTCCTGCGAGAGATGCGGCCGTGATTGCCATTCAAAGATTGGCCTAGTGAGCCACTCGTCAAAGTGTAGAACTATATAGCTACTCCATTGTCTCACGAAGACGGAAGGATGCCATAACATAATAATATACTATTGTAAAATAATATTTTAAAATTGCCCCCTGAGTGAATTATATTATATTAACTAATTGTGAATTTGTTGCTATGCTAGGCTGTTATGTGAAAATAATTTAAGTCAAAATTTGGTTTAGGTCAGTGAACATTAAACTATTAGGCAAAAGAGCCAAAAATCAGCAACAGGACGATTACAAAATATTTGACAGCCAAATTTCCTTTAAAGAACATGTCAAGAATCGTGTTTTTCGGACTCAAAATCGATTTGTGACCGACTGGCCGAGCCGCACTCATATTGCTAAAGAGCCGCACTCATATTGCTAAAGAGCCGCACTCATATTGCTAAAGAGCCGCACTCATATTGCTAAAGAGCCGCACTCATATTGCTAAAGAGCCGCACTCATATTGCTAAAGAGCCGCACTCATATTGCTAAAGAGCCGCACTCATATTGCTAAAGAGCCGCACTCATATTGCTAAAGAGCCGCACTCATATTGCTAAAGAGCCGCACTCATGTTGCTAAAGAGCCGCACTCAGGTTGCTAAAGAGCCGCACTCAGGTTGCTAAAGAGCCGCACTCATGTTGCTAAAGAGCCGCACTCAGGTTGCTAAAGAGCCGCACTCAGGTTGCTAAAGAGCCGCACTCATGTTGCTAAAGAGCCGCACTCATGTTGCTAAAGAGCCGCACTCATTTTGCTAAAGAGCCGCACTCATGTTGCTAAAGAGCCGCACTCATATTGCTAAAGAGCCGCATTCAGCTTGCAAGCCACTTTGCCGACCTCTGGTTTATGGAATGTTTTTGTTTTTTAATATTTTAAATTGCGACTTTACAATTTTAATTAAATTTATTTTTGTAAAAAATCAACAACAATAACAAATTAAAACAAATCAATATTGTATTGTGTTTTTATTTAATTGAAAGTGTCTATGTCCTCAAATTCTCAAGTAGGCCAACGTATCTCGTTAACCGTGTAAGGATTGCTTTGTAGAGGAATGAATGGTTATGCCTATAATAATAATATTGTAAACTTTTTTTAAAATGTAGATACGCTTCTACAATTTCTATACCATAATCATTTTGTTGAGGGAAACCCCCACTAGGCTAGATCCGCATTGTGTCACGAGTGTTAAACTTTTCCAGGTTATTTTTAGATTAGGAACAAAAAATCAACAGACATTCAGGAGATTATTTTTTCACTCCAGGAAGTGATATTTTAACCAAACTGTTTCACTAAGCTATAGAAACGAGGGGACGAGACAGCAGGCGAAATTGGAGTTCCGTTTTAGTGTTTTGGTTGAAAAGTAAGCATTGCATCTAATATTTCAATTTTTCTATTTTTATTTATAAGAATATAGATACCGTACTGTGAAGAGCTATTTTTTTCAATGATATCTTTTCAGAAGTGCAGCCCGATTGAAGTTTTTGTTTGCTAAAGTATCGGGTAGAAATTGAAAAATTTAATTCTTGGAATTTGTGTGATTATTTTTAAAGCATTTAAAAAAATATTTTAAAAAAGGAATTGTTTTCTTACAAAAACAAGCATTGTTTACGTCCAAAACTTCTCTGATTATTGGTTTTAAATAATTAGTATGTGTTCGTTTATAGGTTTTAGCAGAGGACAGGATTTTAGGTTTTAGCCAGAGGAAGACTTCCTTCTTCTTCTCTCACAGTTTTGTGGGGTTTTTTTGTGGTTTTTTTTGTAGATTAACTCTTTACGTCTTTATTTTTAAACAATAGTTGTTACTTTAAAATATTGCAATAATAATGTGAAGTTTTCTTATGTTTCCTATGATAGAATTCATATTTGCTGCTCAATAAATATTGTCATTTGTCTGGCTCAAATACCTGAACATTTGAGATGTTTCAAGGTGAAGAAATTACAACATAGTATTTTTTTATAGAACTTATTTCATGTTATGCTTACTTTTTCTTCTAAAAATTATTTCTACCCAAAGAAAAAAAAATATAATAGACAAATAAAACTTACAATCAAATTTAGCTTACAAAATTGTAAATAATATGAATCCAAATCCATCTCTGTTACAAAAAATAATTACACTTACCAAGCACTAGGGTAACTTTTGTTAGGCTGTTAGAGATTATTTTTTGAAATGCGAAGGAAATACATTCTTGGGGCAAAATGACTAGGTTATTGATAACTTGATAACTTCTTTGTGTTTTGGTGTTGACTGATATTCAGACACGAAGACAAACAATTTAAAAGAAACATTTTGAATGCATCGACAGAACGTAAACAAGACGTCTTTTAAAAAAAAAAACAACTCTTTTTTAAATATAAAAATGACGTCATGAAATACGCATCACATTTTTAAAAAATTATTATATTAATAAAAACATGATTTAGGTGCTCTGGTCAAAATTTCAATTAGATACCAGTTAGTTATACTTGAAAAATTTAACATTTTCTTTAAAAAAGTATATACACATGTGTTATTTGTATTACATTGCATATATGAAATGTTTATATTGATTTTAAACTTAAGGTGAACACACATCTAATCATTATCATAAAAGAAAGAATATATAACTGCAGAGTTTAGATTTTTAGACCAATCCAATGGATACACAACTGCGACGCAATTACATTATGAGCGTATCTTTTTGAGATCACATTCTACGTACTAAAGACAGATATACATGGGTAAGTAAATTTAACAGGCCAGATCATGTCACGTGTCTGTTAAATTGACGGAGACACTGGGGCGTGGTGTAATGTTTTACGATCTTTGAATACACAAGATCATATTACACAATTTTTCAAAGAGTACAGTAATATAATAAAAAGGGATTAATCGTTATGTGCTCATTAACGAGAACATGTAATATTGTACACATACAATTTTTTTAGGTACTGTTAGGATACTCACACATAACTAAGAATGTAATTATATTATTCAAAGGAAGTTTTTTTATGGTAATAAATGCAAGACTTTTTCCTTGTTTAGTTCTGACGGTGCGCTTCACTTGATTGGTTTCAGATTATTTTAACGTAATTTTTTGTAACAGAACTTTATTTTTTAAATTTAAACTTCCAGTCTGTGTCGTTTATCAGGTTACCCAATAGTTGGTGATGCATCGTACTTAAATGAATTTAATGATTTACTCCACAGCCGATTTTGATTTCGGTCCCTTACTTGTTGGACTGACGTTTTTGGTTGTTGTAGTTATCGCCCTTGTGATATTGATATGTTGCGGCAGCGGCATGAAAATATGTCAAACATCCAACACAGAGGAAACACGTGATTTAATTTGCCACAGTAAGACATTCGCGGTGACGACTTCTTTTTTAACTGAGCACCATGAAACCATTGGTTCGTCCAATCCTTTGTCTCACCCTGGACCAAACAGTGGGACTTATGAAGGCGGTAGGATGACAAGGTTAGGGACGCTTGGCGACATCAATGATCTGCCCAGTTATGGAGCAGTTTTGGCCAGTGGTCCGACAGCATCAACAACCGATATGACGCCACCCCTTTATACAACGGTTGTAAATGAAGGACGTCCCATGAGGCCAGTGAGCGGAAACATGTGTAAGAGAATTTTGTCATTTCATATTAATAAACAAGTTCCAAACGAATTACAACTGCCATAAGATTTAAAATTATGGGATATTCAGGTTTTGTGTTATTACTCTGAAATGGCTTTAAACTATTCGTTTACACATAGTCCCTTCTTAATAATTATGTGCCTATGTACTTAAATAGTACTTTAGACCCACAGTGATAACAGAATAAACGTGTTGTCATCTATATGGTTATTTAGAATGAATTTAGCTTTGAGCAACACAAGATGTGTTACAGACGAGTCGGTGGTCATACTAGACATCAATTTGAATATTGCGTCATTATCCTCATCTGATTACATATATATGTTTAGTGTGCTCAGCCTTACAAATATGGAGTGCTTTAAAGTTCTGTTGTTGGTATGAAAATTTACATTCAGAATGTTCCTATAACCCATGATCTATTAGTTTTCTAATTTTTTTTTTATTTTCTAAAAAACTTTCTTGTCAGCAAAAAAAATGTTTAAATATAATTTAAAAAATCATATTTTGCATTCTCCTGAATCTGATGTTGTACAATTGCGGCGTTAACTATCTTTACGTTGATTGCAGTGAGGGTCACTGATGACGTTCCTCCTCCTCCATATCCAGGAACTGAATCCATCATTTAACTTTACTAATAGGATCTATCATAGTTGGTAAGTTCCCTTTGAGGGTTTATAGAAGGCCCGAAAATTTAAGCCGCAACTCCAATGAGTCTAAAGTGATATTTGTTAGGTCATTCTTTACATTTGTTTTCACTTACTTATGATAGCAGTCAACTTATGTCAATAGTTTCTAACATGACAATGCCAATTCTAAGCGATCATTTTATTTTCCATTCCACGTTGTTGATTCAATCAAATGGGGTGTTTAGTTAGCAAAATAAAATGTCAGTTTTCTAGATAGGACACGTTTATAATCACTTTTGTTGGAAGCTTTACTATATTCTGAAGCATACAACAATTTCTCAGCCCCGCCTCTATTTTTTGTTTTCAGTAGAGGTACGAATCTGCGAGATCTCATTGTGCGCAGTTCCACTCAGGCTTCCCCTTCTGACTTTGAGAACAAGCCATATGGATTCAGACGTTCAAAAACCTGATCTTTTATTATTCCCTGATCTAAGGGTATTTTCAGCTATGGGAGTGATTCATTAGTGCTTCACGCAGTGTTGTCTACGTCATTCCAGATGGCGCATCTAGTTTAGACTGGACGTCACCACTCGGAAAGATGTAATAAACACCTTCACAATGTTGCCCAAGATAAGAAGTGTCCCATGTCAAAACACTTTACTGAAGCGACCACAAGGGCTCCGTGGATTCGGCTTTCACCGACCATTGTGTCGGGTCCAAAAACGTCCGCCAGTGGAAATTCGGAGAACAAACTGATTCCAACGTATGGGACCATGACATGACATGAACATCATGTTCTCATTCACTTGTTAAAATTGCCCTACCTTGTTACCACCTGCATGATTGAACTTATTTTTCCTCTCTCCCGCCCCCCCCCCTGTAGTCTGTTTTAAGTCTCTAGCTTCTAATGCTCTAACCGTTCGTGTTGCTGCGTTATCGGATACAACAGTGTAGGATTGTTTATTTTACTATATTCCTTTTGTTTTGTGTTCCCTAATGACGAATATGTGTTTGTTTTATTCAAAATTAATATCCGTATAGCCATTATTTTTTCTCGACTTAACCCGATTGCAGGCTCTTTCCCTTTTCACAATAACAAAGAGTCGCTACAGTTGTTTAAGGATTTGTATCCGTTTTAAAGTGCCTCCGGTGCAAATTAACAATGTATAATAAATGTATAACTTCCATTCATGTGACAATGGAAATACTTTTTGGGGGGTTAAAATTTGAATTCTTTTCCACCATCATATTTGCTGATGATAAAATATTGACCTGTTATTTCCAAAGTACTGGCAAGATTTAATGATTTTCATTAAGATTTATTTGTGTGTATATGTATACGCAATACAGGTTAAGTACACGTCGTATTAACAACGGGATATGTACAAGGTGAAGCATTGGCAATGTGCAAAGATATACGTGAGGCAAAGTAAAGAAACATATCACATTTACTACATAATATTGAACACACGTTCCATTCAATTTATTAATGATTTTTTTTCTAAAAACAAAAACGTTCAAAACAATTTATGAAATATAAGAATAAATAACTCAATGGTTTTTTAGTCTGTAAAACTGTCAATGTTAAGTCGAATGTAGAATGCAATTGCTTCCATGATTTCTTATGTATTCATATCTTAAAAGACAAATAGGTATCGGGGATTCAACTGCGTGTAGTCCACAACCACATTGGTTAGTTAACGTTTGCTGATAATCGTCTGGTTAATTCTTTGTTGTCTAGTTCATTTATGTTTAACCCCACTTGTATATTTTCATAAAGCCCGTGAGCAAGTCATATTATTTATATGACATTGTGTAAACTTTTGCTATGCCAGGTAGTGTGAGAATTGTGTAAACTTTTGCTATGCCAGGTAGTGTGAGAATTGTGTAAACTTTTGCTATGCCAGGTAGTGTGAGAATTGTGTAAACTTTTGCTATGCCAGGTAGTGTGAGAATTGTGTAAACTTTTGCTATGCCAGGTAGTGTGAGAATTGTGTAAACTTTTGCTATGCCAGGTAGTGTGAGAATTGTGTAAACTTTTGCTATGCCAGGTAGTGTGAGAATTGTGTAAACTTTTGCTATGCCAGGTAGTGTGAGAATTGTGTAAACTTTTGCTATGCCAGGTAGTGTGAGAATTGTGTAAACTTTTGCTATGCCAGGTAGTGTGAGGCAAAAAATTCAAGTCAAAAGGTGGTATTATTTATGCAATGTTTTTGCATTTTAAAATTGTGGCTTATTATTGTTTGAAAAGAAAAAGGAAAACATTTTTGTGGGTGGTAAAAACCAAGACTTTATGACACAAAAATAAATATTGTATGGCGTTTTTTTTTAAAATTCAAACTCTGTATGCAATCAATTTCTCTAGACCATTGTTTTATGTTCAAATGTTAAGTATTTATTTGTAGAGGAATAAACAGGTACCGGGTAAGTCTGAAATAATATAAAAGTAAAATATTTTAAAATGTCTATATCTTCATCATCAGTTAAATAGGGAAAACCCCATTAAGCTAGATCAGACTTGGGTCACGTGTGTTAAACTTTTCCAGGTTATTTTTAGATTAGGAAAAAACAAACGATAAAACCAGAGATTATTTTTCTTTCAAGGAAGTAAATATTTCAACCAGCCTGATCATACAGCTGTAGATGATAGTGGGGCGAGAAGGCACAGGAAACTTCTGTTACATTTTCTGTGCTTGGTTTAACAGTAAGCTCTGCTTTTAAATTTAAATTTTTGTTTTCCATTGTGAGAGTTAATTTTTAAATGATATCTAGGATTTGGTTTTTAAAAAAATGACCGTGTAGAAAATGTTTACATTTCAATCTTGGAAGATAGGTGTGATTAAATTCTTAGCATTACAAATCTGAAATCTTTTTTTTTTTAAATAAGTATTGTTTAGGTTTAATATCTTCATTTAATTGTTTTTAACAGTAAATATTATGTGTAATATTATAGGTCGAAGCAGAGTGCTTCCATTTTCTTTTACTTGTATTTTTTTTTGTTATCCTATTTTTTTTTTTGTATTGAGCAATAGTTTCATGTTTAAAATATTACAACAATTCTATGATGTTTTCTATTGTTTTCTCATGATTTAGTTAATATTGGTTAGTTAATATTCAATAAAAGTTGTTGCTTTACTCTATCAACTACCTGCGAAGGATAGATGTTTCAAAATGAAGAAACTACAAGATATATTTTTTTTTAAAAATAGAGCTTATTTTAAGTTATGATTTCCCATTGTTTCAATTGCTAGAAATATAAATAAAATGTAAAAAAAAATCTTACAATCAAATTCAACTTCAAAATTTGTTAATTATATGAAGTAAAACCCGTCACTTTATATCATCACTGCCAAGCACAAGGATACAGTTCGTTAAGTGTATGCAAACAACAGTTTCATGAGGTGAAAGGGAAAAAATGGGCAAATAAAATGACTTTATTATTTTTAAATTAATATTTTATTTTTATTGTGGTGTGAAGTGATATTCAGGCACGAAGGAAAAAAAAATTAAACAGAAAAGTCTTGAACGCATCTAAAGAAAGTGAACATGAGTTCATTAAAATGTGTTTTAAAAAATAAAGTCTTGATATAAAAATGAGTATATTAAAAAAAACATAAGTCAAATTAGAGAGGCAAATTTAAAATGCTACAATTACATCACAAATTATGGATACATGGTTAACAAATAATTGTATTTGAAATATTTAGCATGCTTTTAAAATTAATACCAATAGTTTACATGTATTAAGTTTTATATATCTAATGTTTATATTGTTTTTATATATTAGGTACAAAAATGGGTAGGCATCATCAGAAACCACGATAGAGAACAGGACAGTTCAGATTTTTATACCAATCTAATGGAAACAGAACACTACAAGGTCTCCAAAGAATTTACACCATCAGCGTACAGTTTTTGAGATTACATATAACAAGAGAAATATTAATGGGTAAGTAAATGAAATTCGCCAGATCATACCATGTGTCCGTTTAATTTTACATGACTTAATGTAGTAGTTTACCATGTTTGAATCCATTAGGTCATATTGGAGCAAACTTGTCCGAAGGACTGCATTAGTTAAATTTTACAGGATTTTCCTAGTCTATGGTCGTTCAAAACGTGAATTTGCCATAATAAAGACACAATTTTCTGCGGTACTTCAATGTCTCAAAAATGACAAAAAATTTAATTAAATTATTCAAATAATGGATGTAAATATGTATTTTTTATTCAAAAAACGCAAGGCAATTTCCTTGTTTAGCTCAAAAAGTGCACTTAAACTTGCTGTTATTTGTTAATTATTTTTGTGTCTTTAATATTTTTCCGCCATTTTATGCACTCAGAAATATACCTGTATTCAGTACTTCCGTTAGTTATTTTTCGGTATCGTTATTTTAGTTTCCCAATAAATGTCGATGAATATTTTTTTTAAATAATGTGAGAAATTCACTCCACAGCCAGTTACGATTACCATCCCTTAATTGTTGGAGTGACGAGTTTGGCTGTTGTAGTTATCACCATTGTCATATTGATGTGTTTGTGCATCGGTATCAAACTATGTCATCCGTCCAACACAGAGGAAACACGTGATTTAATTTGTCACAATAAGACATTCGCAGTCACAACTTCTTTTGTGACTAGCACCCATGGAACCGCTGGCTCGTCCCATCCTTTGTCTCAACCTGGACCAAACAGTGGGACTTCTGTAGGCGGTAGGATACCAAGGTTAGGGACTCCTGGTGACATCACTGATCTGCCCAGTTATGGAGCTGTTTTGGCCAGTTGCCAAGCAACACCACCAACCAGCATGGCACCACCCCTTTATTCAACGGTTGTGAATGAAGAATGTGAACGGAGACCAGTGAGCAGAAGCATGTGTAAGTGAATTTTGTCTTTTGATATAAATTAAAAAAATACTCATCAATACATTTAAAAAAACCCATCTTAAAGTGTTAAAATAAATGGGATATTTAATCGTTTTTTTTTGTGGGTTGTTATTCTAAAATGGCTTTAAACCATTCGATTTTAAAAATTCGTTCCTTAGCAGATCAATGCCTTGATACATAGATACCTCTTTATACGCACGTGGATAAAAAATTAAATTTCTGCCTTCAATATGATTATTTAGAATGAATTTAGCTTGATGCAACACACGATCTGCTACATGCGAGGCTGTGGTGATACTCAACATCAATTTGCATATTGCGTCAGTATCCTTATCTGTTCACAAATAGGTTACAATCTTACAAATATGGAGTAGTGCTGTCTTTAATATGCAAATTGTAAATTTCAAATTTGTACACCCGTGTATCTATATGTGTTATGTAATTATTTATTTTTTGGTCAGAATAATGTACAAATATAATGTTTGCTCTTGTTTTGGAATTCCCCCGAATCCTGTGTTCTAAAATTGCTTAGTTTACTTTCTTTCGGTTGAGAGCAGTGAGAGTCACTGATGAAGTTCCTCCTCCTCCATACCCAGGGACTGAACCTCTCTCTTGACTTTCATAATAGGATATAGCATGGTGGGTAAGTTCCCTTTGAGGGTTTATTCAAGTGTCGAATATTAAAACCACATTCTTAAAAGACTAAAGTGATATTTATTAGGTCATTGCTTACAATTTTTTTTTTCAATTCCTTTATGCCAGAAACGACCAGAGGGCACATAAAAAAAAACATCGGACTTTTCTATTATGTTACGTAAATGGGATCAGATTAAATTAGATTCAAGTGAAATCCATCTGCTGATAGTTTAACTATATGTTTGATTATTATACATTTTAAATACAATTGCAATAACAATAAATAAAAAAAAATAAGTTAAAATATTTTTATCTGAATGTCAGAGTTAACATATTTTACCTATGTCAAATAATGTTCATCTTGTTATTTCTATTATCGATTCGTAATCAGATTTATAGGAAAACCCCGAGAATCTGTTTGTTTATTTTTGCTTTAGTAATATTGGGGAAAAAATATGTTGATTGACAAAATGACTTTTACCACAGTTTTTTTTCTTTCCCTTTTACAGTTTATGGGCGTGTACAAAGATGAGTTAAGATTTTCTTTCAAAATGTGAACATACTAGTTGTTGTTGTTGTCTTCACTTTTCGAAAGTAAAATGGGGTGTAAATTCGTATGATTAAAATTGCATATTTATTTAAAATAATAATCAAAGCCATTTAAATTGACAAAATAAAAAAATATATATATATAAAAAGTGTCAGGAAGACATTAGATCTCTGCACACAATACACTCATTAAAAAGATATAACATCTTGCATAATAAATATTTAACTAAAGTAGAACTCTGCACAAAATTGAAGGCGTTAAACTACTACACAATAATTAAGCCAATGAAAATAACAACACTTTGTCACACTAGACCTTCTCATGTCGCCACTGAAAATTAAAGCTCATCAATTTTTGCCTATCTCATTTTATTATATTATTATCTCTTGACTAGCCTCCGTTAGCAAATAAGAAATGCATCTTAAATTTTCATGATACAGTAAAGAAAAAAAAGATTTAAAAAATATTTATGAATAATTATTCAACCACGCAAGAAGATATTTGCATTGACATAAAAAGCGCTTTTAAAAATGCTGCCTTACTTATAATTTTATATTTGAACACATACTTAGTCTTTAAAAACCTCACTGAATATTGGACAGAAGAACATAAGTTACGCTTTTCAAACGTTCAGATTGGAATTGGAATTGGAATTATTTTATATACACAGATTTCACAATGCATTGAAATCTAACTACTTAGTTTAGTGACATTATTTGAAACTAAAACTTTTTTTTCAGCTACGGGATGAGTAGGTTTTCCAAAGTCAGTATAAATAAATAGTAATCCTGCACTTTATTTTTTTAAGTTTTCAAATACGCATAAATATTGTCGTCAAGCGAACATTATAAAAATAATCAATTCTAATATGTTTAGAAATAATTCACAGTTTTATAAAACAAAAATAAATATTTTTAAAAAAAGTATATTCAACGAAAAACAATTTGGATAATAGTGTGAAAAAAAACAATATAGGACAATGTATAATTTTCTGTAAACATAATGCAGAAGCATTATTTATCCCACTCAAAACATTAAAACATTAAACTAAAACTAAAATAAAGAAAAATCAATCGTTAAAAGATATTGAATTATTTCCACTTTTTCTTCCAGATTAATTTTCTTCTAATTTGAAGTTTAAATGTGTTAAAATATCTTTACCGGTAGAGGTGACCATTTAAGAATGTAATATTTTAAAACAAGTGTAAATTGCACAATACGACTGATATATATATCACGAATATATTGATTGAGTATGATGCATAGTTCAAATGAATTTATAATCTATAAAAGATGCTCAAGTTTGTGAACATTTTTATTTGTTAATCTCCCCTGCTCCAAGTGTTCACAAATGGAAATTAGAACCAGCGTCCAGATTTTAGGGACACAAATTATAGAAACCGCGAACAAAGGAAAACCATTCATTAAAATTTTGCTTAGTGCCTAGTTTTTAAAACCAATGATTAAAAAAAATCCCTCGAAAGTCCATCAAAAAAATTTATCTGGAAAGTTTTAGTCATTTTCGTTTTGACTATCATTAAAAAAACAACCAATGGCGTCCATTCAATAAAAGGTTTAAATGCTCCAAAATGTTTACTTCTCAATCTTTAATCATGAGAGGTGTTGTTTTTTTTATTTTATTTCCTTTTTTTTAAAAAAATAACAATTTAAAGTACTAGATAATATTGCAGTTTGTAAAAATATATTTTTAATGCCTGGATGCACAATAATATCTATCGGATTCAAACACCAACTTTTGACAATTTGAAATTAATTGAAATTAAAATTGTAATATTTGTTTTTCAATTTAATTTGAGGTTACATTACCTTTTAACGTAGCTAAGGTTTTTACTTTAAAAAAAACCAAATTTGAATACACAAATTAGCTTCAAACTATTTTACTTTACTTTGCCTGTCACTAGAACTCCCTGCAGGTAAGACTACAGCATTACCATCAATCTGATGCAATGTTTTTTTCTTCGCAGGCTCGCATCGCTAGGATGGGAACTTGACCTGGTCAATAATACCACGTTTATTTATGGAGGTTTTGCTTCAAATGTTGTAACACTATTTGACCTTTCAATTCATCCCGGCCAACATAAAAAGTCCAACATAAGAGGCCTGATTATTATATTCGACATTTAAAGGGTCGGTTAGGGACACCTTAATGACATCGTCACGGTTGAGATAAAATATGCCACCTAGGGAGAGAGAAGGCGAAACTGAAAGTTCTGTATGTGAAATGTTATGATTGAACAGGTTAAACCATTATTTTAATTGTTGTTACAAGAGATGCGATTAAAAAAAAAGTTTTATACATTCTTCATAAAGTGTATAAATGAAAGTTCGTATAACAATGCATGCAAAACGGCCCTCGAAGTAACGAAATATTCTTTATTATTGTTATTTTTTTTAGTAGCTCCCCCCCCCCCTCACAAGGTTTTTATAAAATATCACAGCCCGCCATTCATTTAGAGTTGTTCAGACCTGCTGTATATATATATATATATATATATATATATATATATATATGTACTCTTGTGAGAGAGTGTGTGTGTGTGTGTTCGGAGGTTATTTCTCTTTGTGTGATTGTGTGCTTTGTTGTATCAATTTTTACGTGGTGTAACTGTGGTCTTATGGTGTGTCTTTGTCACAACGCATTCTAAAACTGTTGCTTTTGTATCTTGAGACAATTGTTTTTCTAGTAAGGAGTTAATAAAATTGTATACCTGCATAAATATTCTGTTGATAGAGTCCGCAATTGCCGGAGCAGGTCTGAGCAGTCCTGAGAAGCACACCTGTGTTAGCCGGGCTGTTTGGACTGATTCGGTTCACATAATGATATGAAGTCTGAGTAAAGACAGTAATTTTTTTTTTTTTTAAAGTGTTTTTCTTAGGTAAAATAATAATAATTACAAAATTTTTGGATCTCGGTATGAGCAATCAGGTTTTGTCTAGTAAGCAGTTTTTAATTGAACATAATTTAGACCACAATGAAAGCTTTACGAAGCAGCTTAGAAACTAAGAATAATTGTTAATTTTAAGTGTGTTGATAAGATCGAATTTATGTACGCCACTATTCCGTTCATGACTAGTTCACAGCTTGATCAAGATTGGAAAAAAAAATTGATTTTAACTAAGTTAAGTCTTCAAAACACTTTATCAAATTCAGCAGCATGAACATACGTTTTCAGAATAGTTATAATATGGCTTTATTCTAAAAACTATGCGCTTATAAGGAATTGTTAAATTAGTAAAGCTAAAAATATGACATCATTTTCTTTTTAAATAGTAGAGTATAACACCTTTTTTTCATTTCCTTTTTACAAAATGACGCATAATGTTTTACAACAAAACATATTTGTATCTTGACGCAATTAAAAAATGAAAAGGAACTTTTTGTTGTAAGTAAATTTCATAAATTGCTTGACCCAGGAAATTGTCAACATGTTTATAAAAAATCGCTCTGGACCAGTTTAGTGATGCATGCGAAAGTTCCTAAAGTTACACTTTAGAGAACACATATTCGCTGACATCAAATGACATTTGCTTTACAAACTTCAGGGTCGATAACCAATGACAAGATAAATGTTCCCATCTATTTCTCAGTAATCATTCTTGTGGAACTGCTGCTCATATGTTGTGTGCTTTACTGTAACCCAGAAATAACGAAATATTCTTTATTATTATTATTATTTTCTTAGTAGCTCCTCCCCCTCCCCCGGTCCTATTATCTTTCGACCCGCACAATTTTCTCATAACGTATTACGGCCCACACAAGGTTTTCGTAAAGTATTACGGCCTTCGTTCATTTTGAGTTGTGCAGGCCTGCTATAACCGGTATCTAAAAATTATTTGCATATATTCAAGGATTTTTTCTCTAAATATTTAAAAATATTAATTAAATTATGGTTTGCTCTGAAAAGATATAGATCTCTAGGAAAATTCTATTCATGTATAAATGCTTGTTTGAGAAATTATTACAATAAAGAAACTTAAAATTAACAAAAATGGACCATTAGCGAATTTAACCAACCTTTTGGGGTAGTGTTGAATTGCCGGTTGTGTTCATGGTATATTTTACACTGCTGTACACGAAGTATAATCCTATTTTTGAGATATGATGTAAAATCAATCAGAGTTTAAATTTAAGAGACATGATCAATTATTACTAATGAATAACATTATATTACCGCGTATTGTTCGAGATATCTTTGGATAAAAAATATAACCCAAAATTTTCGGTCACATGATTGATTGATTAATTGATTGATTGATTGGATATTTATGTAGCGCTGGTATCGATGGTATTTTAGCATGCTCCCCGCTTTGGTGTTCTTAAATCTCTTTTTTTTTTTCAAAGTCTTTAAATGTTTCTTAAATGATTTTTTTAATAATTTTTTGTAATCGCCTTAAAGATGAAGGCAAACTGTTCCAGAATTTATGCGCTAACACTTCAAAAGAGGGCACTCAATAAGACTTTCTTTTTCTGCGTTCATCCACACTGGGAATTTTCAGTAAAGACGCTGTTGAAGAACTGCAGGTTCTGGATACATGTTTATAAATCAGTTCTTTAAGATATTCCGGTGCAGGGCCTTCTATGCAGCTGATTGAGATCTCGTACAACTGGGTGATCATATTTATTTATCTGCGATACACTGGTTGATTGGTATGAGTGAAAAGTTTAGCTACTAAACAATATCCAACTGTCCAGGAATACAAATTTGAGAGAAAAATTCCAAAAAATGAGAAAATGTGGAGAGATTTCACTTCTTCTTGTCCACAACTCGTGAACCGGAAGTATTTGTTGATAGCGTTGACTGTTTTTGTTTATATTAATTAATATATAGAATGGAAAACACAGAATAAGTCCACCAATTCTTAGCTACGCTCGAAATAAGTTATATTCATACGTCAAGGAGACATTCAGATACAACTATACCCTACGATCAGGAATGCGATCGTACCCGGTGTCCCGAAAAATTCCCTCGGGACGCCTAAATCTCCCGTTTCTAAAACCAAACACATTTTCACATAATTGATAAGAAGGCTGTTTCAACAATGGCTGGGACAACAGCCAAATATCCTCAATTTAAATCCTACATTAGCGAAATTTAATTTGTTGTGTTGTATTTTGTTGTAAAATATGTATAAATAAATAAGTATTCACTGCAAAATTATTGTTTTCGTTTATGATATGCCTCAGGGTTAAAATTGAATTTAAAAAGTGAAGATAATTTAAAAAGAATTCTAGGTCTCAAAATGGTTAAAATGAGCATATTTCAATAAACAGTTTCCGGCGGAGGCCCCATACCACTCTTTAGCTGAATGTGTCCCGTTTTTTTTTTCCAGTTCATGATTTGGTCCCCCTAATCTAGGTAAATATGCCTAACAAAAGAAGTTTATTGTTAAAACAGAGTTTATATTTTGAAATTCACGTGGATAGTTATATTTAAAATAAGTAATCTCGATGAAATAAATTTATTAAACATTTGTTTGATTTACATATATTTACCTGTATATTGAATGACGAGTATATCCTTGTTCATGTATACTCCCCTTGCATGCTCATACAATGGGTTGTCATTTCCAGTGCTGAATGAAACAGGTGTGTATTCTTTGTAGTTGGAAAATGACGCTGTAGTAGTATAAGCAGTTTAGCTTTATCATCAAAATTAATATGTAGTTAGTAAATGTCGTAATGTTGCCAATGCATTGTCAAAAACTGTATGGCTTGTATATCTTATTTACTCTATGCTATTTTAAAATAAAATAGTTGCCCCTTTTAGTCTTCACTTCAATACTGGACACTTGCCTGGATACCTTTCAGGTGGTTCCAAAAACTTGTGAACTGTAACAGGTGAAAAATGTAGCTTTGTACTGTGAGCAGGGTCTGAAGTGGACACGACTTCTATAAAATACACAAACACACACTCACATATATATATATATATATATATATATATATATATATATATATATAAAAAATATATATATATATAGATATATACAGAGATGTGAGCAGGTACTCAAGTGGACACGACTTCTATAAAATACACACACACACACTCACATATATATATATATATATATATATATATATATATATATATATATAAGAATTATTTATATATAGAATGATACACAGAGATAGGAATATACGTACAACAGAGAGACTAGCATATAGCAAACAATATGGAGATAAAGTCAAATATACAAATAGACTGTCATTTAATGTTTATATATATGGATACATGGCTGAATGGATAGATGATTTGATTGATTTAAGGCTATATATATATATATATATATATATGGATATATTGTTATATGAGCACATGGCTGGTTACTTGGATTGATAAAAGGCTACACGGAAGTAATGTTATATTATAAGAAGGCTTGTTTTAATTAGTTTCTGGTTTCTTTTTGTCCGTGGCGTTTTGCGATTGAGAGATGACGTAATTTATTGTTATGCATGCTCGTTGGTTGGTTGCAGGAAATGCCACATTGCTGCATCTTCCATTGTATTTGTGTTTGTAGTTATTTAAAAGTATACAACTAAGCATTTGCTAACATTGAAGTGATGGGTCTGGTAGAGAACATTATCATTTTTATGGCGCTGTTTTCAGTTTCTTTATAGGGCTAAATAGAAATTGCCAACACGTGCATGACACAGCGTGAAAAGTTGTGTTCATTTTGAGTGAAATATAAGTATTGAATTTTAAAAATAAAATACAATATTGTGGCTTATTGGGTACATTTACGGACGAAAGAAATGTTTATTTCAGGGCAGAATAGAGAATATTGGGTTGTTGGATACCATTTCCGTTTTCATATCATTTGCTGTTGTCATGGTTTGGGTATAAAACATGGATCGATGATATTACCATGAATTGAGAGGAAAGAAGAAATTATTCAGAGTAAAATATAAAATTTTACATTTTAAAATCTAAAGTATTGGGTCTGTTTTAATTAAACCTATTTCATTTGCCAGAATCAAGTTTACAAACAGCAAACCTGATTTTGGAACCAACCCAAAGTGTTAAAGTATTCAACATCTACGGGCAAGCTTCTCCGTTTTACACACAAAGAATGAACGTCGTAGTCTATAGTACGATTCTACAAGTAGATTAATTTTATGGCATGTGTTGGCATATCTTGAAGTCAACGAGT